AGAGGGGGGGAGGGCCCCCGGGGCTGCAGGTTGGGGCTGAGCACTTTGGGAAAGTGAATCGGAGCAGGCGGGAGGGAGCTCAGGGCTTGGGACAGCAGCGGAATCCAGCCATTCTGGCTGTTAAAAATCCCGTCCCCCTCCGCAGGGAGTTTCCCTGACGTAAAACCTTTGCCTGTTTTCAATGGGAAGCAGCAGCTAATCAGACCGGGGATGTCTCACCCGGCCTACAGCCATCTAACCAGGGAGCAGAATTTAACTCTCTCAATGCTTGGGCATAATCCCCCCCCCCCCCCAAAAAAAATTTTGAAAGCACTTTTTTGTGGGGCGGCACTAATCCCATAATCTGAGCCTGGTTTGTGAAGATCGGGTCAGTGTTATACTGGAAAGGAAGAGGTTTGATCAAGGGGGGGGGGGCGGGGGGGGATCCACAGTTAACCCTTTCCTTCCCCCAGGGTATTAGGAATAATCCTCCAATAAAACTCCACCTGCTGTGCAGGTGACCCTGATGTGACCTTTGATAGGTGGGGTGGGAAAGAGGCGAGAAGCTAAAGCAACAGTGACCCCTTGTGGCTGAATATGAAAACTGCTACATGGTGACTGACCGAAGTTTATACAGTACTTTAAACCCCCCTCTACCCTTTCTGAAAACCGGGGCATCTGGGGTGCCTCTCACCTGGCAGATATGTAGACTGCATTGACCTCTTCTATTTTCCCAATGTGAGTCAGGAAAAAACGTAGCATCCGGAAGAGGCAAGGATAGGTGAGTAAACCCAGAATGAATAAACTGCGTAACTACAAAAGGGAGGGGGACGGTGGAAATTGAGAGATATAGCAGGTCATTGTTCTATTATCCCTCCAACCAAAGCACGAGCCCCTTCCTCTAAGAGTATGTTAATGTAGTGCCCACGATGTACCAGGTGCAGTCAGGCCAGCCCAACTTCCTAGTTATCTATGTAGTCTTTTATTATAGTCAAATTCATGGAAGAGAGAGAGAGAGACCTATCTGAGGCTGCTACCCTCATGGAACTTCCATGAATGGAAGAAACAGTCCTCTGAGAAACCTGACCCTGGGGACAAACTATAAGGAATAACCTTCGTGCTGTATTTAAAAACTTCCAAAAACTTATTGGCTAGAAACAGTGTGCTGGACTTAAGACAGATCTTTGGCATGATATAGTGATTAAAACAGCCCCCCCCCCAAAAAAAAAAACCCCTCTTAACCAATTGTAAACAAAGTTTACTTTTGATTAAATTCATTTTTTGAAGTCTTTAAAATCATGGTTCCAGGAATTTTGGATGTTATCGCTGCACTTCTCAAGATATTCTTTCCTGAGTTGTACTGCCCCCCCCCCATCTGCTATTGGGCAAGAACTGAAACCTGATTTGCTTCAGTAAGAGTAATGTGAATACCTTTCAATGGTACCAAAATCAACAATGAATGAATTGGCTTATAGTAGCCCTCAGGCAATCAACCTACCTGTTCCGGGGTCATCGTCAGAGGGAGGGCACAGGGGGATGGATTACACCAGGGGCCGTCTCCTGCGTCTGCCTCTATGGA